CCCGCCCCCGGCCCGGTGGTCACTCCGTGGGGGTTAAGCACAGGCTCCTGTGTCAGCTCACTCTCACCGTGTCCTTGTGCCCCCTCCTCACTGTCCTCCATGAGCTTCGTGACTGCATTGTCCCCCCATTCCTGGAGGGTTTCTTGGCTGAGATGCTCACACAGCTGTGTGTCCTCTGCCTCCATTTCCACTAACTCGAGTTCATCAACCTGATCCAGGGGTTCAGCATCTGGATCCATGCTCGCTCCGTGCCCTGTCCCCGGGGAGCCAGCCGCGCTCAGGGGCTGCAGTACTGCCTCTGTGCTCCCTCCTGGGGTCAGTTTGCGCTCGTCAACCTCCACCATTAGCTGCACATCTGCAGCAGTGCTCTGCTCCTCCAGCACACCCAGGCTTTCAGCCTCCTCCCATGGCTGCACCCCTGCATCAGCCCCCGCTCCCTGCCCAATTCCCGTTCCCTGCGGATCAAGCACAGGCTCGTGTGGCAGCTCACGCTCACCCTGCCCCTGTGCCCCATCCTCATCCTCATCCCCACGCTGTGTGGCTGCATTGTCCTCCCCTCCCTGGGGTGTACCTTGGCTGGGATGCTCACACAGCTGCCTGTCTGCCTGGAAGTCCTCTGCCTCCACCATTTCCACTAACTCAGGTTTATCAACCTGATCCAGGGGTTCAACATCTGGATCCAGGGTCCCTCCCTGCTCTGTCCCTGGGGAGGTGACATCACTTGAGAGCTGCAGATGTGCCTCTGTGCTCCCTCCTGGGGTCAGTTTGAGCTCATCAACCTCTGCCATTGCAGCAGTGCTCTGCTCCTCCAGCACACCCAGGCTTTCAGCCTCCTCCCGTGGCTGCACCCCTGCACCAGCCCCCGCTCCCGGCCCGATGGTCACTCCGTGGGGGTGAAGCACAAGCTCCTGTGTCAGCTCACGCTCATTTTGTCCTTGTGCCCCCTCCTCACTATCCTCCACGAGCTGCGTGACTGCATTGTCCCCCCCTCCCTGGGGTGTTTCAAGACTGGCACCCCCGCACAGCTGCACATCTGCCTCGAAGTCCTCTGACTCCACCAGTTCCAGTGCCTGGGCCCTAACTGGGAAGAGCCCACACACATCTGGGCTCCCTGCAGGGGGTTCTGCTGGGGAAGAACCCTCACCACGCACTGCAGCAGCGCCCATATCTTCTCCCAGCCCTAACCCTGGTTTATCATCCTCCTCCAGTGGTTGCACATCTGGATCCACACTCCCTCCCTCCTCCCTGCCTGGAGAGCTGCCCTCGCTCAGGAGCTGCAGAGCTGCCTCCACCTCTGCCAGCAGCTGCACGTTGGCATTGCTGCTGTGGGCCTCCAGCGGTTGCACATCTGTTCTCCCTCCACCTTCCCACAGGTCGGCTGGTGGCACAGTGCCCCCACCCCCCCTCCCCACGCTGCCTCCCCCCTTGCAGACTCCCCCTGCGGCTGCGGCTCTGCCTCCCTGCGCTGCGTTGCCTCCACCTCCCCTTCCTCGGCCCCGGCTCTGCGACTCCCTCCATGCTGAGCTCGGGCTGGCAGCTCATCAGCATCTAAGGTCTCTCCCCAGGGTTGCGCCTCCGCACCGATGTGCTCTTCCTCCAGCACCGTGGGGCCAGGAGCCACTGTCACCTCGGGGTGACTGTCACCATCACCCTGGGCTGCTCCCATTCGTGCCTCACCCCGGGATGGTGGCTCTGGCTCCAGGCACTCTCCAGGCTTTATCTCAAGTTCCTCGGAGAGCCCCCATGGTGGGTCAGCCTCTTCCCCCAGACCTGCGCCCAGGGGCTGTGGGCACCCTCCCGGCACGGCAGCCGGGCCAGGCTCACCCGTGGCAAGCTGCCATCCCGCTGCTAGCCCCGTGTCCCCAGCCTCAGGCGGCCCCAGACCTGCCTCCAGATTTTCTCCCTGCCTTAATGCCGCTTCCTCGGCTTCTCCTGGGGGCTGTGCTTTTTCCCAACCCGTTTTTTCCTGCATCCATCCTTCTCCCTCCACCTCCATCAGCGCCTGCTCTCCTGCCTCCGTGCTCTCTCCCGGTGCTCCTTGCGGATGCTCAGCCGCCTTTAGCATCAGCTCCTTCACACCGGCACCCTTTCCCTGCAGGAATAACATCCTCCGTGCCTCCTCCGGGCTCTCTCCCTGCTCCGCCCCTGGTTCCTGAGCCCTGTGGTGCCCAGCTCCCACAGCAGCACCAGCCTGTGTCACATCTGGAGCACGAAGCTCAGCCGTGGCCGGTCCCTCTTTCAGGTCTCCTTCAACCAGCTTGTGACCGATGTGGCCGGGAAGGGTCTCTTGCAGGACCCCGGGGGTTGTGCCATGGGCTGCGGCTGCCTCCGGCCCCATCTGGGGCTCAGCATCGTCCTGGGGGTGATGGGCAGCATCTGGGGGTACACTCGGTGCCTGTGGCTTCAGCTGTTTGCTCAGAGCCGCTATTGCATCATTCATCTCTCTTAGCAAAGAGCTTTGGTCGGAAAAGTGTTCCTCTTTCAGAAATTCTGGGAAGGGGTCCTCTTCCTCAGAGCTCGCTCTCGGTGGGGGTCCCAAAAGGTTGATTTCTGCAGGCGGCATTTCCCAAACCCTGGAAAGGGCAGAAAAGGGTCAGCCCAGTCCCCAGGTGAGGCTCCAGCTCCCTCCCACCCATCCGGGCTGGTACCCAGACAGTCCCTCCTCCACCACCTCACCCCATCCCTCTCCAAACCCGACTCGATTTACCCTCTGGGTGCACTGGTGGCTCACACAGGTGGACACCAGGGACGGGGGAAATGGGGTGCACACCCGGGGAGACAGACCCGGGGCCGCATCCTGCCCGGCGAGTGAGCGTGCCTCTTCCCAGGCCCCGTGTTCACATTATCGGAGATGAAAAAGCAACTCTCGGCCGGGTACAGCAACTGCCTGAGCCCAGGGAGCGACGCAGGGCAGCGAGCAGGGGTAAGCGAGCCGATCTCCGGGAAGAGAGATGGGTGGGAGAGGAGCAATAAAAGGACTAAATATCGGGTTTTGCCTGGGGAGGGAGGAGGACTTGGGTGCTGGGTACCGGCTCGCAGGTGTCGAGGGCAGGAGCTGAAGCAGCACCTCTCACCCAGGGCCCCTTACACTTGGTGGATGCTCTTGGCCTTGGGCTCGCTGCTCTGGGACCTGAGCCCGATCTGCATCTCCAAGAGGTGCTTCTCACTCTTCCCCGGACTCATCTGCAGCAAATGGGGTGGGAAGAAGAGAGAGAAAAAGGAGCATATTGCCATGAAATGATGCTGAGCTTTCTGGCTGGTAGCCAGACGTACCCACCCGAAATCTTGGGGGTGTCAGAACTAACATGCCTCTACCCCCTCCCTTCCCGAGCATCTGTAGGGCATCATGCCCACCCAGTTGGAGAAAGCCTTTAGGGGACGCACTGCCCCTGCTGCAGAAGCGCCCTGGGCTCCTGGGCTCCCCAGCAGTCCCAAACCAAAGAGCACGAGGCCCTGGAGCCCAGACACCCCATCCCGTCCCCAGCTGAAGTACCTGTGGCGACAGGGGTGTCTCGCCGGGCAGCTCTGCCCCCGCTCTGTCCCTGCAAACACAGAGCACAGGGGTCAAAACGGCAATTGCATCCTCTTCCCCGTGTCCATCCCTGCCCCAGGGTTGTCCCTACCCCTGGAAGCAGCGATGGGCTGGAGCAGGACAGCAAAACCCCTAACCCTTGAATCAGTCCTGGTTGGGTTCTTCAGGGGGAAGGATGTCCCCATCTCTGTCGGCACTGCCCTTGAATGACAGGTCCAGTGCATGGTGGTGACAGTCCTGGTTGTTTTTTTTTTTTTTCTGATGCTTTTCACACCAAGCCATGATTAATCTGCACCGTGGAGACCACTGAAGCACCGCGATGGCTGAGACCCATCAAACTCATTCCCCATCCACTGCAACCCCCAGAGGGAAACCACCATGTAGGTACAAGAGGGATACGATGGTCACTCAGCTACTCACCCGGACTCCTCCATGTGCTCCCAAACCGTCGCGGCCCTCGCTGTCTGCAGGCGCCTGTGGGTCTGCTGGAGCTGCTGGTGGAGGTGCTGCAGGCGGTCCTCCAGCACCCGGTTGCTCTCCTCCAGCTGCCGGTTTTCGGTGCTGGCGGCTTGTTGCGTGCTGCGGAGGCTGCGGCACCGCATCTCCAGCTGCGGGATGCCAACCAGGACACTCACACCTTGCCAGGACCCCCATGAGACCCACACCAAAGAATGATGGATAACCATCTCCTCTAGACTTGGGGCTGAATTTCCAGCCCCCACGGTGGTGGGTGGGAAACTCAGCTTGGATGCTCTGGGGTTGGAGGGCAGCATGGGGATGGCAAAGGAGAGGTCCTACGTGACAACCTGCATCAAGGACTGGTGGGGACAGACTGGGATCAGCTGTACACCACCATGTTGCTGCTACAGGCACAGCCCAAAGACCCCATACGCACGATGGGGGACCACCTCACCTCCATCTGCGCCGTGACCAAACGCTGCACCTCCCTCTCGCTGGCATCCAGCGCTCGCTGCAGCTCCACGCTGTGCTGGTGGCTCCGGGCCACGCTCTGACATGGCGACAAGGACGTTAACACCCACTCACCCATCTGGGAGCTGCCACAAGGGTTTGGGGCCCCGGTCTCCTCCCGGGGTGGGTGGTAAGGGGAGAGGAGTGGCTGGTGCCCCCCCTCCTGCTGCAGCCGCTGCTGCTCCTGCTCGATCTGCTGCTCCAGGGCCTCGCAGAGCTGCTGCACGTCCTTGTCATGCTCAGCCACACGCCTGCGGGGGACAGCAAGGCCCGGGGGGGTGGGTCAGACCCTGCTGCAGTGGGTGCAGGTCCCTGGGACCCCACATTGCCCAGGGGACCTGCAGGCTGCAGTCGGGTCTGCCCAGAGGGGTTCACCCAGCCAAGGACATGTCCAGCTGTCTGAGTTCGGCACTTTTGCCATCCCGTGCGTGACTGTAGAGGGAGCCCAACCCCAAACATCAGCTCTGAGTGAAACCTCTGCTCCAGCCACCCATGGACATGCTGAAAGCACCCAGTTTCTCCCTCCTTGGGTGCGTCTCCACAGCTGGGGTGAGCAGGGGTCCCCATCCCTGTGCCCATCCTTCCCATCCCATCCCTCTCCACTCCCCAGGGGGGACTCACTTGTTGAGAGTCACCTCCAAAGCCTCCTTCTTACTCCTGGCTTCTTGGATGCGGTGCCTCATCTTGGCTAGAAAGTCCTCCAGGTTGCCCAGGAGCTGGGGTTCATCCTGCCGGAGCTTCACCCAGAGCTGCCAGATCTCCTGTCTGCAGGGAGAGGGTGTTTTTTGTGATGAGCATCTCCCCAAACCCCGCCAAAGACAGGCCAGCTATGGGGTCCCAGGTTGCTTAGCTCACACCATTCGAGATGTGTGGTCCTGGGGGACAGATGAGCATTGGGGTGACTGTGATCCTGTCCTCTGCGCCTGCACTTGGGTCAAAGGCACCTCCAAGCCATTTCTGGGCTCTTTGGCCACATGGGAACCTCCTGCCCCAAGTCTTTCCCCCTTGGACAGCTCTTCCCCGTCCTGCAGGACACCCATGGCTGCTGAACAGGGCAGCTTACTCTTCAGAGATGTTGTCCGTGCCCAGTTGGTCCATGAAGGCAGCAAAGTGTCTCCGCTCCTCGCTGTCTGCCCCCTCCAACGTTGGGCTGGGCAGGACCAAGCGGACCCTCCGGGATGCTGTTTTCCGCCGGCGGTGGTCCCTGGCAGCTTTTTGGGAGTTCAGGAACTGCCCTGCCGACAGACACCCCAAACCCTCAGTGCCTGGACAGGGCAATAGCAAAGCCCAAACCCTGACATTTCCCACCCCACGGCCTTGAGAAGCTGCTTCGGTGCCCTAGGACCCCTCACCAGGAGAGCCATGGGCTCAGACCCGGCCATGGGGACGCTTTTTAAGTCATTACGTGGAAGAGTTTCAGTTCCCCCCTGGGAAAGCACCAGGGCCGTGTCCAGGATCAGCCCGGGCTGCTTGGAAGCAGCGTCCCGGCACTTACAGAGCCCGGCAGTGAACTCCTCAGTGCTTAACCGCCCGGTGCCGGCAGCATCCAGCCCATCGAAGACGAGCTCCAGCTCCTCCATGCTGCACGGGAAATCCTCCTCCTGCAATTTCTAAGAACAAAGCACATCAGGGGAAAAACCCGCCCGTCATCCATCTCCTTCCACCCCGCTGGCATTTGACCTGAGAAGACCTCCCCATCCCTTACCTTCATGTCCGAGCGGGTGACAAACCCTTCCTGGTCCTTGTCCTGCTCCCTGAAGAAGTCCTGCACCTTCTTCACTATTTCGGATGCCCACGGTGGCTCCTCGCTGGGGCCAGGGGCTGCTGCCGGTGCCTCACCGGAGCCTTCACG